AAGGGTCCTGTAGTTCGTATTGCTCATTCTATTGAAAGAAATTTGATGGCTTCTGGAGGTAGCGATGGTACAGTCAGATTATGGAATTTACAACATCATGCTTGTACTCATAATCTAAAAGGAGTTCAGGGAGTAATAAGGTACTCATTTTAAACAAAATATTATATTTTCATATTATTTATAAAAATTTTAGACATATTTCATAATAAAATATGAAATCATATATTTGAATGAGAAATGTGACTATGCAAACATTTTCTAAAAATTGCATTTATTTAAATGATATATTAAAGATTTATAATTTGTATTATCTTTTGTTTTCAATAAAGTGTGTATATTTTTCAATAATTTTATAAATGTTACAAATTTTGAGTTATTATACAACATTATTATTATTATATTGTTATTATACAACATTGTTATTATTATACGAACATTTTACATATGGAACAGAATCACTGAATGCATACTGCTGTAAAACATGCTATAATTATTTTAATTCATATAAATTTTGCAATACTCTGTAATATATTTCAAAAATTGAAAATCAAACGTAAAATTTTAAATTAACAAATTGTGTGGAAATTGGTTTTTATGATCACTCATTTCTTTTGCTATCTATTTTCAATTACATAATTTTAAGATATATAATGTGCAGCATATGAATTTTTATAAAATTTGTGAAATATAATATAATTTTAGTATTTTAGTTTTTCATCCAAATATTGAAAAAGAGCTTATCTTTGCTGCTGGCGATGATATCAAGATCTATGGGTGGAATATTAAAACTGGTAAAGAAGAAATTACACTTTCTGGACATTTCAGTAAAGTTACTTCTTTATCTTTTCTCAAAGACAAGGATTATTTAGTTAGGTAATATATTGAAACTACATTTCTTATCTTGTATATTACTAAATATAAAATTTGTGATATGTATAATGCACATTGGTTTTGTGTAGTTCAGGAAGAGATAGAGTACTCATTTTATGGAATCTTTCTTCTGGATCATCAATACGAGTTTTACCAGTTTATGAGGAAATAGAAGATACATTTATAATACCTAAAAATATGTTACTACCCTTTTATAACAAAGATGAAAATGCTATACATGTTGCTGCTGCAGGAGAAAAAGGTGCAATCATACATTTTTCAATATTTGTATGGATTAAATTAATATTTGTCAATTTTTTTGTCAAGAATATTTACATCTTATTTGGCTGTTCCAAAATTTTGCTTTTTTTTTAAATATAATTACATATTTTTTAGAATGATACAAATTTATAAATAATAATTAAATATTTATTTTGTAATCCAAATTCCTTTAGGAGTTGTGAAAATTTGGGAGATGAAGACTGGTAAAGAAGTATATGTGCAAAAAAATTCTATTGTATCAGCTGCGAAGGAAACAGGATCTCTATCAATTATACATTTACTTTATAATGATAGTAGTAATAACTTTGCTGTAGTTACGGTTGATCATAATATAATTATCCATTCATTAGAAACGTTTGATTGTCTGAAACAGGTAAATTCGTTTTTCAAAAAATAATAATAAAATCGATATTTTATATAATAGGGAGGTTCTATAATGAATACAATTTTTATTGTTATAGTTAGTAGGTTACAGTGATGAAATTTTAGATGTTGTATATCTTGGAGATAATGAGAGTCATATAGCTGTTGCTACAAATAGTTGTGATATAAAACTGTACAATATTTCAACCATGAATTGCGAATTGCTATGTGGTCATACAGATATTGTGTTATCTCTTGCTACTACACTTGCTAATGCCTATTTACTTATTTCTTCAGCAAAGGTATATATTGTATACATTTCATAAATTATTAATGAATTGAAATCTATAGTTGCGAAAATTGCTTTAATGTAAGAAAAAATATTTATGAAATATATATGAAATATATTATTAAAAAAATAATGTTTCATAATTTATAGGACAATAGTATTCGAGTATGGCTTATGGATAAAGAAACAACTAAAGTATCTTGCATTGCATCTGCTACTAGACATACTGCTCCCGTTGGTTCTGTAGCAATTTCTCAAATGTCTGCAAAATTTTTTGCTTCTGTCAGTCAAGATTCATGTCTTAAATTATGGAACTTATCAAATAATATTAATTTTAAAGGTAAACAAAATGCCTTTTTATATCATAAATTATTATTTCTATCATGTAGTGTTATTTTATGCGTTCCATGATTGCAGACACATGCTCTCTAAATGTTGCTCATACAACATTGGCTCATCAAAAAGATATTAATAGCGTGAATATTTCACCAAATGATAAATTAATTGCTACTGGATCACAAGATAAAACAGCTAAGGTATAATACATAAAATTCATTGTACATCAAAATATAGGATGTTTCTTTTAAATAGGAAGAGTGGAATATCTTCTGATAAAATATTTTATTTTTGTTAACATAAGACATAATATTCGAAAATTGAACAGATATTTATATGGATATAATGTTTATTTTATATATCTTCATAGACATTTTATATGTACTGTATTATTCGTTGTGGTACATAATATTGCTCTATAATGTTAGTATTAAATTTTTTACTATTAATTATGTCTTCTAAATCCTATATATATCATTAGCTTCTGCATTACTATATATAACTTCATTTCAATATGAATGCACTACTTAAGAAATTGTTTTTGTTAAAAATGCTTTGAAACATACTCTAAATGTTATAGTTATGGTCTGCAGACGATTTACAATTACTTGGTGTATTTCGTGGTCACCGTAGAGGAGTTTGGTGTGTTCGATTTTCGCCTATAGATCAGGTACTTTTGACGTCATCGGCAGATTCTACAATAAAACTTTGGTCGCTGACAGAACTTCAGTGTTTAAAAGTAATTATAATTATTTATTTGTTACTAATTGTTATTAAATTAATATAACAATTATTTTAATTAAAATATATATTTATCATTATCGATAATTTTTTCTGTATGATAGACTCTTGAAGGCCATGAATCATCAGTATTAAAAGCAGAATTTTTATCACGAGGAATGCAAATAATTACTGCAAGTGGAGATGGTCTTTTGAAGCTTTGGAATATTAAGACATCCGAATGTACATGTACTTTAGAACAGCATGAGAGTCGCGTATGGACGCTCGCAGGTGAATATCATTTTAACGTTTTTCAATCAACATATTATATTTATTATATCATACTTTAATTGTAGTTAGTAAAAATGAGAAAACTATTATCAGTGGTGGAAGTGATTCATTGCTAGTTATTTGGAAAGATGTGACTGAAGAAAATAAAAAAAAAGCTGCAATGAAATTAGAACAACTTGCATTAGAGGAACAAAAACTAGCAAATTTACTAAAAGCAAATAAATTAACATCTGCGTTAAACATAGCTTTAAAGTTAGAACGTCCTTTCCAAGTTCTCAAAATTGTAGAAAGTAAGTTTTAATTACGTATTATCAATATAAGCATGCATCATTTAATATAACATCTTATATAATTATATACAGAATGATTCACTTAACTATAAATATCTTAAATTATACATTATATGGAAAATAGATTTGCGTGATATTAAGAAAGTATTAAATAGCACACTTCTTTTTATGAACAAGGAAGTTTTAAAAAGGATCTTGAAAAGGTTAACATTTTCTAAAATATAATATACTTCTTATTTCTTATTATATGCATATATTCTTATTGTCTTTAAACTTAACCATTGATAAGATATTTTACTTTTAATTAGGGAACTCAGAATAATGAAGCAATACAATCTTTAATTTTAAAAAATTGTAGCTAAAGTCAAACTAAGTCTATATGCTCCTAAATATTAAAACACATTAACATATACAATCAAAAACGGTAGAAGTTTCAACCAAAGTTCTTTCGATAAATAAAGATCTTATACATCCGTTCCTTTTTCTTATTTTATTTTGGAAAAGATGTTTTTTTCCCATTGAGTTCTTTAATTAAAATAAACGCTGTTAAGTAGAACTGTTATTGAAATGTTTAATATTATGCAAAGTAAATTTTCAAGAAAAAGAGTAGTTATGTGACTAACGGTTAACTCTTTCCGGTCGTAATTTCTGTGGCATTGGTCTCCTCAATATTACAATGCCGGGTAATAATCGGACTTTGTCCGGCAAAAAGTTAGTGTTACATGTAAAGATAAAGTGAATCATTTTACATAAATTAATAATTGAACCGGAACGCGATTACTTTTTCATTCTTCTTATGTTTTTTATTTTTCATCTATCAGCTATTTTAAAGGAAAATAATTGCCACTTTGAAGAAACAATTCGTGACTTAAAACCAATTTATAAAGAAGAGTTATTGAAGTGTGCTGTTACATGGAATGTCAATAGTAAAAATTGTCAAATTGCTCAGGTAAGTTCTCACATAATTGAATATGTTATTCCTTCAAATAAGAAATTTGATTATAATTTTACATGTTTCTATAATGTTCATTATTAATAGGTAGTCATGAACGCATTAATGATGGAAATGGAAAATTTGGAATTCCAAACAAAATTAACTTCTACATTGGAATCTGTGATACCATATACTGAACGCCATTATATAAGAATTACAAAATTGTTACAAAATTTGCATATACTTACTTATACTCTCAATCGTATGAAACCACGTATTACGTCCATAAATGTAAACTAAATGTATAACTAACAACTTGTATAAATTTCGTAAATTTCTTTTTTATAACTTTCTTTTCTATATACCACACATGTGTGTGTATGTGAATGCTTTTTATAGCGAATGGATGTAGATGGAGAATTTTTGTAGATAGCAGTATAAATCGGCGTTAGTTATTTAATATGTAAACAGCACATGCCAAAATATTTGTAAATTTCGAAGAGTCTTTTCTATTATAACTATAATATAAACTTATATTTCAAGAAAGTACAAAATTTCGTGACTTCTTTTATTATGGTATGGTACTTTCAACATACCCTGTATACCTTGTGTGCAATACCAACTTAGTATTATATACAAGCACCTGAGTGTTCACTTTATAAAAGAATACTGTAAGTGGGAGGAATGGTTGGGTAATATTTGGTTTCTAGCTAATTTACTCAAGACCATGCATGTATATTCAAGAAAGAATCAGTCCAAGTTTATTAGTGAAACAGATAAGTCATCAGGAAACGTAAGATGGCCTTAAGAAGAATTTGTTCTTTCGTGTCTTTTATTTATCTACTACAACTTTTACATTTAAATACATCTGCTATGTAAGTTATACTTAATTAGATCCATTCCTTTAATTTTTATTAAATTTAGTGACTCTAGTCACTAAATATTCTTTTAAATTTTTTTTAGTTAGAAATATCACTCAGTTTTATATCTATGTGGAAGAGTTTGTTTAAGTAAAACTTATTAACTTACTAAAAGCCTAATAAAGCTATTTATTTAAATAGATCTACATATTAATCTTATTTTCCACAATTTTAAATAAATACAAATTTTTATATAGTTACTAGCATAGATCAGTATCATGAAAAGATATCATCTTCATCCTAATAAAGTATATAATATAAAATATCCAGAACTATAATTTAGTTATGTATATTACTGAATACATGGTTAATATAATTTTTGTATATACAAATTTTTGTGGCATTGGGCAAATAGTGGTAAAAAGCTACTTTTTTTTAAATTAATTTGGACACTAAAAAGTCTTTAAAAAAAACATATTTTGTAAAAAATATTTATAAATACTATTTATTTCCATGCATAACTATCTAAAATATCTAAAAATATTTATAAGTGCTATCTATTTCCATGTATATTTTGTATGCAAATACATAACTAAATTTTGAAACACTTGTGTAAACATTAGTATTCAAAGTTGATTACATTAATCTTTAAATTATTGAAATTATATTTTCAATAGTTTTATATTATTTTATCTGTATCTGAATTATTGTATGATTAAACAGCATAAATGAGGTAATTTACAAATAAAGATAAATTAAAAAAAATATTTCTTTACTTTTCCGTAATTTATCTATATCTATTATAGCTTTAATTGTAATTGCAATGATTATTACATTTTTATTTATAATTTTCTAACTCATAATTTTTATGTTGGATTAATAATAAATTTTAATTATAAAATAAGACTACACACTCCCCTCTCTCTCTTTCTTATTTTGTGAAAACAAAGTATGTGTATTATATTCAATATTACATTTCATCAACCAATTAAACTGTTTTATACTACATGTATATGCATATACCGCTAAATTACGTACATCAGAAGAAAAAAAAAGATTCTGAATCATGATACGCAATTTTATGAAGAAAAATATTGATAACTTACATAAACAGTTAAATGTTTGATGTCATAAATTAATATGCTCATGTGGTAGATAAGATTTTATTGTTGAGATTGGTATTAAAGTCTTGATTAGAGCATTAATATTCGATTGTATTAGTTAATAAAAATTTTTTACTTGTCATACTAGATATCAGAATAAATAATGTACATAATAAAATATGATACTTAATGATATTATAAACAAAATATGATAAATAGGTTAAAAATTTTATAATTTTTTAAGATACTTATCTATACTTATTCTTATCTTATAAACTATAAAATATAATATATTTTTCATAGCTGTTTATAAAGTACTTGTTTATTTTAGTTGTGTTTATTCATATTTATTTCATGAAATAATCACATATCCATAGTAAACCATCATTGTTATGCTTTTCAGAAATATTTCAACTTGCAATAACAAAGAAATTCTTTTTATAATGTAGAGTCACATGCATTGCATTATGTCACCAGCATTAGTACAAAGCAACAATGAACTATTCTTACTACTTAGTAACGTCTGGAATTTTAATTCAAGGACTTTCTTTGAAAGCAGTTTTATCTTTTTACGTACTGAAGTATAACTAAATATCACTAACAAATATATACTATTGATACTATTAATTAAAATATCAATCATAATGTTATTATATATATTTTTATAAATTTTTTACAGAATTTTTTTATAACATTACTAATACTTTTTACTATTAGAAGTTTAAATAATATTACTAAGCTTCTGGAAGCATAGCTTTATATGTGTATATGAAATTACATAAATTTCTTACAGATTAGAGAGCTGTCCAATATTAAGTAGTAGCAGCTCTATGACACAAACTGAACTTTTACAAGAATTGACAAATAATTGTCGTTATGATAAAATGACTAGACCACCAGGAGAAATTAATTCTACAGATCCAATTAACGTATATGCCAGGGCTTATATTTATACAATTAGATCTAATATGGCAAAAACACTGGTAGCTTGTGTTATAATTATATTTTATAACTTACATAATTTCTAATATTTGTTCTGCATATATCTATAAAATAATAATATTGTTTTATATCCTTTATAAATATATATATAAAAATATTTTTACAGCAATTTGATGTACATATGATGTTGCAATTTAGATATCTGGATAACAGGTTAAAATTTTCAAACATTGCTCCACATTTAAATCAACTATATGGTGGACAATTTGCACATGATTTAATTTGGACACCTACTGTATATGTTTCTAATGAGCCCAGTTCTGCTATAATGGGAAATAGTGTGAAAGATATACTTGTTTCAATAGATCCATCAGGCATGGTCATACTGAATACTAGGTTTGTAAATATAAATTTACTTAATATTTTAAAAATAATAATATTACATTATCAAATATAATATTCATTCAACATCTTTATTTTTTATTCATTAATAATAATTTATAATAATTCAAATATAAAGTAAAATTAACATAAATATGAAGCAATAAAAACATAATGTAAAGTAATAAAAAATAATTCAGAAAATATCATTTATTCTAAGTTTATTCTTTATTCTGCACTTTTTAATATGCTCTTTTATTTTAATTTTAATATTTGTACAACTTAAAAATCTTTTTACTTCATGAGGTTTCATTGAATAAAAGTTCAATCAAAGTAATGTTTATGTTGTTGCAATTATTTGTTGCAATATTTAATTTATTATAAATTAATTGTTCCAATTTACGTTGCAGGAAGAGTAAACTAAACTATCTATAAACAATTAAATAGGTATTTTAATGAACTATATCATGACAAAAATATAATTTATTACTTAATTATTTAAAAGTTAGAGTTCAATTATTCAAAATAAGATTAATATGTAAAAATATGTACAACATGCAATACATATTTTATGGCACTAGTATAAATAGTATAAGTATATAGTATGGCAATAGTATAAAATTAATTATATATTTTTTTATTCATTTTAATATAAAATAACACAATCTGTGTGAATGGAAAGCTGATCAAAATCGGCTTTATGATGTGTTGTAAAATAATAAATTCCATAGAGCTATTTGATTGTGCAAAATTTTTAAAATGAGAATACTTACCTTATATAGATACTTTGCCTTCCAACATGAACTTATGTTAATTACTGTATGATTATTGTTTATAGAGTTATATCAATTAAAAAATCAACAATTTTTTAGTGAAAATTTAATGATCCTTTAATCTTACTGTCTAATATACAGGGTTGGTAACTAGTGGTACAAGCGAAAAGGAGGTGATTCTACGCGAAAAAAGAAGTCGAAAATACAGAATAAAATTTTTTTTTAAATTTTTTTTAAATTTTTTAATTTTAAAACGATCTACAGTGAGATCCGTTATAACGAGACGTGATAAAGCGCACGCGTACCGAGCGAAAATTCAAAGTCGATTTTCTCGAAAACAAAGCCTCAAACGAAAAATTTTTATTCTATATTTTCGATTTCTTTTTTTCGCGTAGATTCACCTCCTTTCCGCTTGTACCATCAGTTACCAACCACCCTGTATATCAGAGATTATTTAAAAGATGCTCTATTGTTGAAAGTTAAAAACTTGCAATATTGCTTATTTTAAAAGTAAAAATTATATTAAGATTTAACAAATTTTGAATGTTACATATAATGTTACTTTTATAATTTTCTTTAATTGTATTCACAATAAAAATAATGACATAATATGAAATGCATAACTCATCCTTATATAATCTTATCTGCATAATAAACGTGATGTATAAACTGTTATAGGTTGCAAGCTACTCTTAACTGTGGGCTTCGTTTGGAGAAATTTCCGTTTGATGTACAAGAATGTCCTCTTGTCTTTGAAAGCTGTAGGATGTCATAGTTATTGTACTACTACAATGTCAGCTATTTTATTCAACTGTGCTCCTTGGAATGAATGGAATTTTTACCTACAGGGACACACAATGTGCATGATATGGTGTTATATTGGGACCAAGATCCAATCATACTTGCAGACGAATTACACTTAACTGAATATAAGCTTTTTGACAAATGGGTTAACACATCAGAAGTATATTATACTACATCGCAGCAACATTATGGTCATTTTGGCATGTATTTTTGTTATATGTAGTAAATAATATCTTAAAACTATTTTAATTGATAATCATTTGTATTTATAGCTGGTAATTTCAGTTCAATTAGTATAACATTTAAATTAGCACGCGAGATGGGATTTTTTATGATGGACTATTACATTCCATCTATACTAATAGTAGTCATTTCTTGGGTATCTTTTTGGTTACATATGGATGCAAGTCCTCCACGAATAGTGTTAGGTGATATATTTAAAAGGTGTATAACTTACTTTATGGGTGTTGATATTATAAGATAAATAATTAATTAAAATTTCTGTATCTAGGAACAAATACTATTTTGACATTTATGACTCTTGCATCCAAAGTAGAGAACTCTCTGCCAAAAGTTTCTTATATAAAAGCCAGTGAAATATGGTTTTTGGGTTGTACAATATTTTTATTTGCAGCAATGGTTGAATTTGCTTTTGTTAATACAATTTATCGACGGAAGTATGTATATGTTGTATGCAGATATTACAAATATGAAATCTCATACTTCATATATCATTTACTGGTTATTAATAATTTTGAAAATATGTTTAGGAAAAATGTTCCCTTGAAAAAAGTAAATAGTAAATACATATTAAAATCAACGCTAACACCAAAACTGGCTCGAAAACAATTTCAAAAGAACACTACAGGATTAGAACGATCACGGTCTTGGTCATCACTTGATAATGCAAACACCAGTGAACAAGATTATTCAAGTCAAAATTACCTTACTGTGCATGTAAATATACAAATATATTATAAGAAAACATATCAAAGTATACGTAAGTTCTGTATTCATTCTTCATAGCAACTGTACTTTTATATTGCAGAGTTTTCCAAGTACTCTCAATATTCCTTCTGTTAAAATTGAAGAAGATAAAGATCAAGAATGCTCTATTGGGAGCATTATGACTGTTAATAGTACATCATCACCAAAACCTTTTCAACGAAGAGCAACTCTTGCACAGTTACATAATTTTACAACAATGACTCCACAAGAAATTGCTCAATGGATTGACAGACGTAGCAGAATTGTATTTCCTGTGGCTTTCATTATATTTAACATTCTTTATTGGTCTTTTATTTGGATATAAAAATGTTATAAATAGATTAAATATGTAAGAAGTAATATTTTTTATTACATTGAAAATTACTAAGAAATTCTTGAATAATTACGGAAACTAACGAGTTGCATTTATGTAATTTAGCTGTATAAACTTTTAAATTAGAAATTAGAAAAGTTGTTTTCTATAGTATGCGTACATATGTTATTGTTACTATGTGGTAATTGTTTATTTATTTTATATAAATTGTTTTTAATGGAGAAAATAGATTATAAATAAATATAAAATATTATGACAGAAGACTATTAATTCGTAATTTAAATCTTCATTCGTTCATTTCTTATTCTTTTGAGTTGCATCAACTGCCGGGATTGTTATTAGTTCATTAGTGATTGGTTTGGTATAATCGATTGGCATTGATTTTCGAACTGACAGTAAGTATATAGATATACTGATAAACAAAAATATCAGTAGACTAGATTGCTAACGTTATGTGCCATAGTCGTACCCTCCGTAGGCAGGTTTATGTGTTGTGAATTATGGGGGTACATGGTCTTGAGTGTAGGTTTCAGATTATAGGATACAGTGAGTACAATGCAACGTAGTTCTATAAATACATATGTTCTTATACATCAAAGCACGGTTGTAGACGAGTGAGATCACTGACATATAATGAAATATGCTTATACATATGTATTATGTAGATAGATTCTTATGCGTATACACTTGGCCTTTAGATGTTTCATTTACAAATATGTTCATATAATTCATTCGTTCGAATGAATTAGTTCGTCAGAACTCAGAGCTCAAAACGTGGCCAGAAAGTCAGAAGTCAGAATCTAGAACGCTCATCCACTGTAATCATACTCTAACAGACGCAGTCTCACTTGAAAACGTAAAAAAGAGATGGTAACTTCAATATTAAATATCTCATGAACTATTAATCGTCGGCAGCCTGTCTCTAAATCTTCAACCGCCAGCTTCAGTTTTTGATGTCTTATCATCGTATAAAAGTTTATCAAAACATCAGAGTTATAATTCAGTATTTTACATCGTTAGTAAAATTTTGTACCTGTTTTGCAATTTTATAACTAATACTAATCGTGAACTTATGTAATTCTCAAATGATGGATTTGTACATGTATATAATAACATTTTATTTTATATAAATTTGTTAATATTATTTTTATTATTAAATAATTTAAAATAATTTACAAAATAAGCTGATATATGTACATACATACATTCTCATATACATATTATATAAATTAGAAAAATATTTGTTTTTCAAAGTTTGTGCATTAACAATTATGAAACAATATTTTTGTAAACAAAATATATTACTGCAAATTTAAATATTATATAATAAAATACATATATACATATATATAAAAGTTTGTGTATACCCCAATACATAATTATAAACATATTTTTATAGAATGTTTTTATATGTCAGAAGATTGTTATGTATCCAATTTGAAATAAGATAATAACCATTTTAATAGTTATATAGTTGTTTAAATTAGTAATACAATTACAATATTCCTGATGATATGAATATTACAATATCCTGATAATATTACTTGTTTTGAATATGTGTTAGACACATAGTATGTAGTACACATATATAGAACAAGTTTATTTATTTTTGAAAACAAAAATTGGCTAAGTTTCGTGAAAATAAGTGCGAGAAAATTCAAATCATTTTTAATAAATATATATTTGTTTTATCTGATTATCTAATTTCTGAATGCCTATAGTATCATTTGATCAGGAAATATCATACTTATTTTTTTTTAGATATCATTATTGGAAGAACAAATATTAGTATCACCTAATATTTGTACAAATGCAGTTTATATACTATTGAAAATTAAGATTGTAATAATATGAAATACTTACCAAAGATATTTCATAAAACTTAGGCATAAACATAACAATAAACTCAACATATAAAAATAATATTTGTCCTATTTGAATTTGTTTATCTTTATTACAAAATTTCAGTATATATATTTTTATTTAAAAAAATTGATTGTTATAATTAATAAATTATTATAGAAATAGAATGGTGTACATACAATAGTACAAGATATTTACCAATATATATATAGATATACAAATCAATTTTTGACACTAGATCTACTGAGCTTTAATATGCACCTAAATATATATACTTCATTAAAATTAAAGTAATAAATAATGTAATATATGTAATATATGTATTTATGTCTCTATCTAAGTAAAACATTTGCATATTTTTAGTAATTGCAAAAACAAAAAATCTGATATCAATCAGTTTGGTAGCCTTATACATTATATATATTATATATTGTATATATAATGTATAAGACTACCAATATATATATTGTATAAATAATATATATATTATAGTATAATAGTATTAATAAAAATCATGTATGTAAGATTTTGTACATACATACAAAAATAATAGGACAATTTCAAATAGGACAAACACTTTTATCATTTTTTTATTCCTTATTTTCATATCCTAATTTCTTCTCCTATGGAACATTTCAGTAGAATATTATGTTTCAGCATTCAATACAGTTAATTGAATTCTATGATACTGAAACACCCGAAGGATAGAATCCAAAATTAGATCTTAATTGTTCTAATAAGACAAATGTAAGAATAGTCTGTGGAGCTAATCTGATAAATGCAGGTACATAGCCCTAAAATAAAATAATCAATATATTTTTAAACTCATATGTTTGAAATTTTATTTTATAAGAATACGTTAACAGGAAGATTATTATTTGAATAAACACATTTAGATAAGACATATATAAATAAATTGAATTATATAATTAAGAAAATTATAATTACAACATAAATATGTTATGATACAAAATAGATTGAAAATGTAAAACTTAAGATACATAATCTTCCTTCTTAAGTAGATACATATGTAGTTTCTTTAGGAGATTAGATGTACATATGAATTATTTTCTTTTATATTTCAATAAAAACGAATATTCTGTTACGAATAAATAATTTGGCACTTCTAAATATATATTCTTATTGCATTGCAAATACATGCAAAGATAAAAATTAAATTCAAACAGATACAAACGTTTTCTACATTTTATATAATTGAGTCATGACTATGCATTTAATAAGAGTAAAACAACTATTATTAAACTATCTGAAACATTTATAACTAATTTCTTCTATAAATATATTCAATCAATGTCATTAATGTAAACTACATGTAAAGTAAAAAAAGATGTTTCATTTACAATGGAGAGTAATAATTTAATGGAACACTTTGTGATTAAAAAGTATATATGCCTATTGCATTAAGTGTACTATTTATATAGATTATTTAACTCCAAGCATTCAATGATCAAAGGGTTAAGTAGAAAAAAAGAAAGATATAAATTACAGGAACTGTGCAAAGTTCTAAGGGTATACAAAATCACTTTAATTCTTAATTATTATGATGAATTTAAATGTCTAAATATAAACTTTCTGTCCAAATTAATTATTCTAAAAAATCCATAAAAAGCTTTCTCTAATTACTAATTTTAAAAATTTATCTTTAATTTATCTCAAATGTGTTTACTCAGACATACTATAACCTTCCCATTATTAGGATATTATGATATAGAAGTATCTAGGAAAAACTAATTCAATACATAAAAAGAAACTTACTTTAAAAAATGCAAATGGTCCAAGCTTAGCAGTATACAAAAATAGATCCATCAAATTCTATAAAACATTACATAAATAAATCTCTATTACTACGTTATTCACTTAATCTTACTTTTACAATTACCTTAAATTCTCCTGGGTTAGCATTCATTGCTCGTGTTTTTAAAACATCCAAAGGTTGTGTAAGAGTTGTAGCTACAGCACCCTTGTATAGGAATAAAACATTAACTGAGAATGATGAATGAGAATGCGTAAAATAATATGGTATGTATTGCTTACTACTATCTGCTACTATCTACTACTATCTATATAAATCTTGTGTTATTATATTAGTATCATTGTATAAAAGAACTGCAAGTCTGTATAAATATAATTTATATGAAATGTATTATTACATTTACATGAATTGTAATACATACATATATTTATATGAAATAGTATGAAATGATAATATAAATAATGTTTGTTACATAATATCTTTTTTTTTTAAAGTTCATGTAATAAAAAAAAAATTGTTGTTTGAATTACACCATGTTTATGGTTCCTATTCTTTTTCAAATTTGAATATATTATTTAAATATACTTACTGCACATACACTTGACACAACATGAGTTATAGGATTATCTTTAAAATAACCACTTTGTAACAACATAATTTTAACTTGATCATAAAAGCTCAGTTGTCCAATTGTCATTAATGCAGCTCTTAATGTTGCTGTAGAGCATCCACTAAATAAATGACTTACTCCTTCTTGCTGAATTACACGTATTATTCCATCTAGAGCATGCTTATAACTATAATAAAATTTATTATTAAATAACAAAAGCAAAAGTAAATTAAGATAATAACTTAGATCCTTACTTTCGTCTTAGTTGTGGTGGAAGTTTTATATCATTTTGCATGCGTACATTAATTACATCTCCTGGTGTTCCAAGAATACCACCAGCTGCGCCAGAGAATCCAGCCAATAACAATTTTTGATAAAATAATAATGATTGTCCAGATGTTTCAAATGTTTGTTTACCTACCTATATATATAAATATAATATATCCAAATGAGAAGTATAGTGTAATAACTCAAATAGTAACATAGAAAAGTTAAATATACAATCAAATTATAAGAAAATAGATATTATAAGTAAATAATACATATAATGAGAATAAATTTACTTCATATGCTCCAAATCTCATTGTAGAATATGTAAGTTGACGAAGCAGAGAAGCACTTAATCCATTGTACAAAGCTAAAATTCCCTGATTTTGTATTATAGATGTAGTTAATCGTGCTATAGATAGCCTGCCTTCTTGTTGTGTTTGTAAGTGAACCTATAAATGTGTGGTGTGTAAATGAAATGCTATTGCATTTCAGTACATCACAAAATTTTTTTAGAATTATAAAGCTCACAATTTGCTTAACATGCTATTTGAAATTCAAAATATAATTAGTATATTTAATTGTTAATTATATAATTATAATCTTAAAAAAAGAGGAGTTGAAACTTATGTTATATTCATTTATGAATTTAGTAATAAAAATACCTTTAACAAATCTAAAGGATGGGTAACACAAGCAGCACCTGCAGAGGAAAGCCCACCAAAATACCACCGTGACACTTTTTTTGTTTTATCTGTCATGTTTTCTGTGTTTTATGCTTTCATAAAACAAGTAAAAATGAGACATTTGATAAATAATTAATAAATGAAACTACTTAAAATAAAATGTAATTAACACATTTACTTATTTTTATATTTTTACATATTGGTTTAGGATTACATATATGTATAAACTGTATATATATGAATTATACATATATGCATACATAAATTAAAATGTCGTATATATATATCATATATAATTAAGAAAGTGAATGATTAAACTATTAATAATTTTTGAAGTACTAAAATTAATTATTGACATATATATATAATATTAATGTGATATGTAATAAACTAATTATTTAATAGATATTAAAGCAATTATAATGTACATATACGTCATGTTTGTGCGCGCGCTCGCATGATTTTTAGTTATGTGTATATGCATATATACTTCTAGAAGAAAAAAAATGATCATTTTAATTATAATATTTTTTAAACAATAAGTTAAATTGAGAATACAATTATTAGTTGATAAATTATTTAAGAAGTTTATATAAAAAGATTTACGCAAATTTTTAAATAAAAGTTGGAACATTTTTACAAAATTCACATATTCATAACTGATACATAGCGCCTAAAAATTGTTATAATTAAATAACTTATTATTAACAGACTTTAACATATAAATGATAATTATTATACATAAATATAAGTGATAATTTAACATAATTATCTTCATAAAAATTTGAACATATATTTATATATATAAAATTCTTGAACATATATTTCGATTTCTCTCATAAATTTAAAATTTAAATGATTTCATTTAAGCGTTGTTACGAAACATGATATAAGCTATAGTTATACCGCATATACATGTGTGTCAAGTATGTTTAATCAGGATTCATTGATAATTAATTTTATTAGCGGTATATAAGTAGAGCATCCGTATTACATCTGTGCACGCTTGTATATTCAATTTAATATAAACATATGATATCTTCAGTAAATTAAGTATAAAAAAGAACTTATTAATTATATCGTAAAGGTTTACCACATGAAGATTATTTTTTATTAATTTCTAATGATAAGAATTAAAAAATAATTATGGTGATCTTTTATAATCACTAACAAATCAAAGTAACAAAAATATAGATAAGATAAACACAAAAAATGAAGAAAAAAATGAATAATAGAGTATAATGTAAGGTAGCTACTTACTATAAATTGTATCATTAATAGAACTTTCAAGTTATTCTTGATTAGTAAGTATACCCGGCAATATCTAAACTCTGACTGACGTAATGTCCACAATCAGTTAACAGAGCTGGAAAGTTGGTGAACGCGCACGCATCAGCTGATAGCCACGTGTTATACCACCTCCTTTCGAAACTGGAACTCCTTTTCATCGATACGCTTAGTTTTAAGAATGGTTATATTTCTCTTAGCAAAATTAATAATTATTCGCAAACAAGTGTTTGGACATTAGAAATTTTTTATATATGAATCTATATGTATATATATATACTATATACCCATACTTATATGAAATGTAAAAAAAAAAGACTAGTATGAAAAAATTTGAGTATTTATATACATGTTGCAATTATTTTTCAAAAAAATGTACATTATAAGCGGCAGTATTCTATATATTATACATATATAATGTCGTTATTATTTGTTAGTTTTTAATCATCTTTTTGCATTTTCATATTATTTGATTAACGTTAGGATATTTTTATACGATTAAATTTTTATGGAGGTTTCTTTATTTATATTACTTTCCAACGATTTTTATGAACTTTTATGTACAATTATTAATGTAACGATTCATTACATAATTTGCAGAAATACATTATTTGTACAAAGTTCATCAAGTATTGAAATAATAATATGCAAATATGTTTGTACAATTCTTGCAAATGTGTTATTGGAATATTATTAACTGCTATTAGTTAATTTGTAATTTATATGTACATTAATTCTAATATTAAATCACTAAAATTACAGTATGTTAAATATTAAAATTTATTTTTTGTATATTAATTCAATATAATGTATCAAAACTTCTTTAAAAACTCGCGCCGTTGGTCGTAACAAATCGATACCTAATCAGTTAGATCCCAGTCGACTCCAGTACCAATCGTGCTGAACAACACGGCAACGCCGATCTGTTTTGCTCCATTTTCAACTAGAGAGACAGCCGATCCTAGAGTCGGCTGTGGTTAGATCTCAAACTTAATTCAGCTCAATCTAACCTTAAATTCCTACTTCGTGCTGAAGGCTAGTCAGAAACATGTGCTTCATATTATTATAGAGCATTTCAATCTAATAAGATATGAAATTTATATTCTGATTTTATTACGCTATATATAAGAAATTACTAATTACTGAGTAAATTGGAATGCAATATTTATCGTACTCGACGGTGTTTAAATGTTACAGGCCTAACCAATAATTGTAATGTATGTCTGAAATCTGAAATGAAATATAATTGAAACTAATTTGGTCTGAAGATATAATAACATCAATTTGTTTTGTAGTTAATTTGTAAATCATTTGGAAATAGAATATTCTGTTATATTTGATATGAATTATGGCTAATATAATGGATTCAATATCGAACATACTTGGCATTGATAAAGTAAATATGGATGGAAAATTAATTTGCATAGAAGAACAACATGATAGTAATGCAAGCTTTTTATTGAGTTGTGTTATATTTAATGCATTAAAAAAGAATTATCGAATATGTTTTATATTATTTCACAATACAATGAATCATTATCATAATATGGGTGTGAAATTTGGTTATAATCTTATGTTATTGAAAGAAAAACATAAAGTTACAGTTATAGAACCAATGAAGTTTATTGTATCTAATATGGGATATACATGTGAACAAACAGCAAACAATATTATTCATGATATATTTTTAACTATTAAAAATGAGTATGACAAAATAGTACAAAACAATGAACCTGTTACTATTATAATTGATGATTTTAGTCATATTTATAATTTTGGATGTAATTTGAGAGAATCTACATATTATGTAAGATATTTAAGATCACTTGTTGAATATTACAACAAATCTCAACTTTGTATTATAACACACACTTATAAAGATGAGCCAAAAAATTCTGTTTCTAATATATTTGCATATGGGCTTAAACACATGGCTGATTTATTTGTTAAAATTGAGCCTCTGGAAACAGGATATTCTAGTGATGTATCTGGAAATATAACAATTAATTGGAAAATGGATGATATCAGAACAAAATATAATTGGTCTGAAGTAGCAAGATATATATATAAATTATCAGATCGTCAAGTACAAATTTACGCACCTGGTGCATCAGCTTTATTAGCATAAAGCAAGTTTTCTGGAAACTTATTTATATTTCTATATGATATGCATATATACAGAAAAATAGCAATAAACCATTTTGTAAGTTTGCTATATATTTGTTTTACTTCTATATTACTAAAAGAGATGATAGTACATATCTACTATCACTAAATTTTTAATCATTCATATTTTTTTAGATTCAATAAGTGGTACATAATTCTGGATTTCATTATAACTTTTTAAATTATAATTTCGTAATTTATAGTTACAAAACTGATCTTTGTGGTTTGTTTTAATTTATTAAAATAATTAGTAAAATGGCAATAGCAACAATAAAAATATCATATTTAAAAAATTGGAATAGAAACAGATGTAATTTTTAATAATGGATAAGTCCTCTATCATAATTATTTGCAATTTGCAATTTGTGTATCATATTGTATCTTATAACATGGAACATGTCATCTGTACTTACATTATATACAATACTTGTATGTATGCAGTACAGTATAAAATATATATTAATTTGTAGCAGAATTTATTTCATTTAATTTATAGGATAAATACATCAGTAAGGAACAATTGAAAAAAGATAGCATAAAAGAATAATTTAATACCTCTTTTTTTTAATTTTCTATAAATTAAGTTCTGTCTCCCGATTGTGATAGATTTAAATATAAATATTAAGGATTGATATCTATTGGATATTATCCAAGTTATAAATAAATGTATATGAATATATGCACAAATAACAGATTATATTCGCACAAAATTTATTCTACAACTTCTTCAACAATAAATTATATGTATATATGTATGCATGCATATACCTATGCACAGAATTTCATTATGATTTAATATATATCCATTCACTGCTATTATTGATACAATAAAGTTTAGGAAAAAGTATACAATGCAATTACATATGTTCAGAATTAGTTCAATTCTGAAATAAACAGTCCACTCTGTATACATACACATATATATGTGCATACGTACAAACATATTACAGATGATGTTTTATACTACACATACATAATACATACAGATGTAGACGTTTAAAACAAGTCGTCAAAATAATTTAAACATTTATGGAGATAGTAAAAGAAATGGTAAATAAAAATTGTTTGATATGGAATATGATGTCAAGACAAATATAATTACTCGTTATAAGATTTGAATTAAGAGTACAGAAAGTTGATACTTCATAATTCATAATTAATACACTTTTTACTAGACCCTTTAATCGATTGAACTAAAATATTAAATGCATAAACCTTATTATATACACAATTATATGATTTGAAATGATAATTGTGGTCTATGGCTACATACAGTATAAATGTGAAAACGTGGTATTTTATTACAAGATTATGGTAGGCTTGAATTGCTTTTGACTTAATAATTTACTAATAATAAAACACATTACCAATTTGGTTCTAAGCTCCATATCAAACAACTTTAATGATTAGGTATATATCCCATTTTCAAAAGCTAAACATTTTGGTGATCTGTTTTAGCTACATTAACTGCATGACACAAGTTTTATAATTCCCTACTTCATAATACATTGCATAAATATTTACAGATATAATAATATGATTCTTTGAATAGCAGAGCAAAATGATATTATAATACTCTTAATTTTAATTACAAATAAACTAAATTGTGACATTTGTTGCAATTTGCTATTGGTTACCATTAGGGTGTTGTAAAATTAATGCAATTTGTATATAATTGTACAATTATACATATCGATAAAAAATAATTTTTTAGTTAATAAATTGTTCAGAAATACATTACCATGTGTGATAAGTACGTCATTTTTTCACGCTTAATGGTAAATATTAACAGTTTTTACATAGAAAAATCGTTAAAAAATACAACTAACATACAGTTTCTATTTTACATTTATAAAATAAGAATTAGGAGGTTAAATACATTAAATGCGGAAACGAATTATTCTATAAAAGCTAAAATGAGTTTTTATATAATAGTACTATTATTTTTACGTTGTATGGAATAGTTTATACATGACAACAAGATAGTAAAAATTACTAAAATATCCATTTATATTTTATGTGAATACGTCATAACAATAACAACACATAAAATGCGTATATATATATATTTAATACATTTTAGTATATTAATATACATAATATCAATGTTAATATATTATTGAATACTATTTGTTTTCATTTAATTTTATATATTCATTTTTGTATGAATGAAAAAAAATTTTTTCTCTGTTTTAAGAAGTGAAAATTATGAAATATGTTTTGAACTCATTATAAATCCAAATTTGTTGCGTATTTTATTATGAAGTTTTAATATTGAAATTTATTTTAATATCTTTTGTTGTAAATCATCCTACTCAAGTGCGTTTACTTAATAAAAGCATGAAACTCTTATATAAGGTCTTTAATCAATTATGAAACTGATATTGAATTTGTAAATTTGTTTGCTACAATAAGCGATTAAAATAACATTGTGCATTAATTTCACATCATCCTAATAAAGACTGGAAGTTCCACTTTATAATGAATCCATTCTCGGTATGTACATTGTTGTGTTTCGCAGGATATGATTACTATTAAAAATAAATATTTTGAAGAAGCAGCTGGATTAATGTATAACTTATTGTCATACTAATTACAATATATAATAATATAATCAATTAACAAAGAAAAGTTTCCTATTAACTTCAAGCCATTTTTATTCACGCGTACATGTACCATTGTTTACGTATTTCATGCAATAACAAAATGTGATTTTTATCATTAAATATTGATTTCAATTTTGAGAATAATTGAGAATTTGCGAATTAAATATTTATATATCGAGATCCTTATTCGCCACTCTTTGTTTTGCCTATTTGTAAAAACGGGGTGGATTTGCATATGAATATTAATATCACTTTTCATATTCTATATACTTTACTAAGTCTTTGTTAAATCTGTCTTAATTTGCTAAATTTAAAAATTGAGAAGAAATTAGTAACTTTTGTTTCTAATATTTATGTCATTTCATTTTTTTAATTGTACTGACTTTTTTTCTCTTCTAAATTATAGACAAATATATCATTGATTAAATTATTTGGAGATGTCAAGAAGAATTAAAGTATATATCACTTTATTATCATGTCAATATTAAATCATTCAATAGATATAAACCTAAATATTTGATTATGCGATAATAAAATACTTTTAAAATGCATACATTCTTCTGTAACTTAATTATTTGGCGATAATTAAGTTAATTTCTTACAAAAAGCATTTCCAATAATCTTTTGATGTCTTGCACACTACTCACAGATCAAAAATCCACCCCGTAAAAGTTATGTAACAAATATTCCAACGCTTATACGTTTACCGTATTTTTATCGTTTGGTGACTACCACTTTGTTGCAGTCGTGCTAGTTGTACCAACGTTTGCTCCAACGAAGGGATTTGTAGAGGCAGCTATATCCAACAAATAAATATTATAGTAATTAAACAACGTTTAAGAAAGATAAAAACGTAATTGCTCATACATTTGTATAAAGATTCATCATCTACTAATATTTCAAATAAGAATGACAATGAAAGTGATGATAATAAATGACATATTTGAAGTACTTTTAATATCAAAATATTGTATCATATAATATTTCGTTGCACTTTGTGCTTAAATATCAATTAAGACTTATTTTTCAAGCTGTAAACAATTTAATTTTCATTAAAAATTCCTGACACACGCAATCTGCTCTGCGTCATCGTACAGATTCTGCCGAGCGCCAGAGGGTCAATCGTCCAGTAGGGTCCCTCAACTAAAGAACTTTCGAGACTACGAAAGTAGTCATATCATTTTAGATATACGATTAATCATATTCAAATTACTATACATGTAATACAGTATATAAAGGAACGTATTATAATAAAAGAACTTTCTATTCTACGAAGTAATATTTATGCAATTTGTTATTTACCAAAAGCTTACATTGTACAGGAGATTCTACGATATTCAGCTCTGCGAGATAATTTTTTAAAATGGTAGATAAATCGCTGCATTACGATCGATCTCCTTACTTACCAACATTCGCAAGGATTAACTGTATAAGTCAAGACTTCTGTAGAACAGCTGACGAAAATTTTCTTCTCACTTGCATTTAATATTCCTTATTTTGATTTCTGCATTCAATAAGCCTGGTAGAAGCATTTGACGTAGCATATTCTATACATACTTGCCTTCTTGCCGAAAATCACAAGAAATCAAGTTAGTGATAATGACTTTTTTTGTGTAATACGTCTTCGATAATACGATTCTGAATTATAGTGTAAAATTCGATTGCTTTTGTAACTTGAGAAATAAGTCTCAATCGACATATTTGCATATCACTTTTCGTGTTTGTTTTGGTGTATATAACATTTAACAAGGAGAAATAATAATGCACGATAACAAATAAAAAACAATATATTTAAATTAAACACCGATAGCAAAAAACAAAAGATTAGGTATTCTCTCTTTTTAATGACGAATAATTTTATTCCTTAACAAATAAGGATTAACACTTGGATAATAGGATAATAAAAGAGAAATATTTAACATTGTGCAGCTATATAATTATTTATATTAAATTGGCATATCTATTCAGTAAAGGAGAGAGTCCTACAGCAACTATTTACATCAAATTATTCTTAAATTTACAATTACTTTTCAATATATGTATATAGGCACACACATATGTACATACATACAATTCTACATTTTTACTTAGCTTTATACTATTAATACTTACTTAAAATGCACATGCTTGCGTCAAATATTAATATTAGGCGTAGAAAAAGTTTTGTGCTGTTGATTATACATCTCATTGGTATCAAAATTACTAAAAATTTTTTCATGAATTGCCTTTTCTCATTTTTATGGTATTGTTAAAAAACATGTAAATACAATTACTGCAAACAACATGTTTAATAGACATTGCATTATTTTTATATTATGACTGTTAAAGCGATTTGTTTTGCCTTCGGTAATAAGGTCTTAACATTTGCTAGATGTAAACAAAGAATATCGAAGATTTAATCTAACTCTTTCCATTGCAGGTAATATTAGCTTTAGCTGTCATCCACGAAATAGCTTGTGATTACTAATGCCGAATTTAATAATCGTCGTTTAAAATCGACTTCTACGGATATAAAAGTGTTGAGTGTAGTTATTTAAGTATTTAAGTATTTTTGGGTAGATACAGATTCAAAAACAGTCTATTATAATATTTATGAAAAAAGCACAAAATTATTTTCTGCACTTAATAACTACAATGATATAAATAAAATAAAATATCTTAAAATTAAGAAAATATTTACTGGAATAAAGCATAATATAACTGTATCATTTATTGCTACATAAGAATACATGATACGTCCTGTGCAAGCATATACCTTGGTGTCATTGCTTGATGTTTAAAATACCGTAAAACTGAAGTTGGTAATACTGACACAAAGAATGTGGGAACAAGAGCCCAATAGTTCATTGCATCAATTTGATGATTCAAAGAATAATACGTAGCAATTCGTTGAACAAAAATATGGATGAAATTGTATTAACGCCGATTTTTATATATGTTGTAGACATCGACATTTTGAATAGCCATTTCCTATATATATAACGGGTGACTTAGTTTTTTTATTATTTAGTTGAATGTTGCCTTTAACACTAAACCTACCGAGACTTCTTGTATACCTATATTGTATATGAAATAAATATACGATATATACGAAATATATATTGTACGCATATTTTAAGAAAAATTGTATAGTTTGATAGCGATATGATAATGTTTAAATATGTGAAAGTTGTACAAAAGTTTAAAAACGGTTAAATTGACCGATAGTGGTAGGTTTAGTGTTAAGATCGCTGATCATCGTTTATAAATAGAAGATAAGTGGCAACTAATACTGACGCATACGCTGCCATAGGCACATAACTATAGGCAGAAATACATTGTAGTGGTCCAGATATTTCTTTGCGAATATCTCTGAAACCAGGCGAATCCACCCATTATATGTATAGGAAAAAGTTGTTCAAAATACTAGCTTCTACAACATACCTAAAAATCATTGAAATCGGAAGGTAGGCAACGTTTTTACAGTTTCATGGAGATATGTATCGAGATAAATTTCTTTCAAATTCGTACAATATTGCAGTATTCAAATAACTTTTAAAAACTATTTTGTTAGTAACTAAATGGAAATACTATCCACCACTACAAATTTTAGAAATGTTAATATGTACATTCAAAGCTTATTTTATTTAAAGAAAATCTTTTTTATTTTCTGAATTC